CGTCTGTCCCTTGGGGAACAGCCCTGCAGCTCCGGACCCGAATCCGCCTGGCCCGACCCTGGCTGCTCTCGGACTCATCCAACCCAGTGCCATCACTCGCCGCTGGCCGGAAGAGTGAAAACCCACGGACAGGACCTTCGGATGCGGGAGCAGCCGCAGCAGCCTCCAGCTCCCCACCTCCCAGAGCGGAGGATCCTTTCTGAGCCTAAAATAAGCAGCAAGACGTGGGTTACTCAAGTCTTTTTATCCCTTTTATTGACAGAGAGCTTCCGATATTTACATCTCCAACATTTATACTTCAGAATTGCACTTGATTGCTTACACTCAGCTTATAAAATAAAATTACGTACAACTCAATTATAAAACACACTAGATAAGCACTCTTCAACAGTAAATATTGGTGACCACACCTGTAAGCTACGTCACAGCACTTACAATTCCTTCCATTTGGTTGTGGGAAGATCATTTCAAGCTTATCCCCAAATCAGGTGTTAAATCATTTGGAAAAAACATTCTGGACTACGCAGCAGGAACAACTGCGCTGGGATTAAAATAACAAAGCAGAACACAACACTAAGCTACGAGGCTTTACTTTTGTGTTTGATGCATCTAGTCACTCATATGGCTTATGGTAAGAGATATATAAAAATAACCAACAATCTGCAAGTGCTTGTTCTGCAAGACCGCCTTCCAAAAACAGTCCCTTGCAGTGCCCCGGTGCCAGCCGAGCAGGACAGCGCTCTGCTGGGAAGGGAGAACTTCGTGGCTCTGTTTGGAACAAGACTAACGTGCTGATGGAAATGGCTGTCTGTGGTTTTCCCTCTGATTAGACGCATGTTCTTGTTACCAGGAAAGCACTGGTGAAAATGCAGAAACAGAAAGTACGTAGTAGACATCTCGGCCATTTCCCGTTCCCAGCTGCGCACCGTGAGCAGCTCACAGCTGGGTCATTTACCTCTGCATCAGACAAAACCCCGGACCTCAAAATCTTGCTTTACCAGCAGAGCTAGAAGTCCTCATGCCTCAAGCTGGACTCAGGTTTAACAAGTTTAAATCCCGTCACAGTTTTGTTTCCCTTATAAACAGAATTCTCAGGAAACCTTCAGATCTTTACTTCATTTTACGAGATGCTGCAGTAACTCTTTAGCTTACTAAGTGATCATTTAGCGAGGCCCAGTTAAAACCAGGAAAGGAGACCAACACCACAACACGGGCTTTCAGCCACACAAACCAAGGACGCTTTTGCCTGTCTTTGGTTTAGACAAGGTGAGCGAGGTCCCGTCAGTCGAGCTGTCCTCGTAACACTGCCAAAGCCCGACTCAAGCTGGGGGCAGCACGCTTCCTCGCTCGCCTCTGTCCGCCCTCCCAAGCCGTCCTCAACACAACCGTCCGCTAGGTCAGACGGGATGAAAACAAAGTGCACAAAAGACGTGGGGTTCATCATCTGTTCCCCACAGAGGAGTAAGCTCCCCACAGAGGCGTAACTCAAGCCTGTGGCTTGATTTGCATCTGCACCTACCCTGGCCGCAGCGTCAGAGCCACAGCTGCCCACCAGCCCTGCTGCCGCGGAGCAGGAGGCCAAAAACCTGCTTCTCCTCCCCAGCATCACAGCAGCCCCGCGGCGTCCCAGGGCTGAGCCGGGTTCGGGGTGCACAGCACCACCCAAAAAAGCCTTTTCAGTGCAAATTCAGACAGCGATTCCCTGCCTCAGCGTCGCCCCAGGCAGCTGGCATTTGAGCAGAAAGCGAAAAGCTTCACACGCAGCAACCTTCTGATGCTTGGTGGCATCTGCCAAGACACGTGCAGGTTCTGCATTCGGCCCAGACATCGGGCTGCGGACGAGCCCCCGAGCACCCACCCGGTGGGCTCCCCCCGGGGCTCTCAGCCCGCTTCCAGCGAAGCACTGACTCACGGTGGGTCAGGAAGGGTGTTTCTGCAGAGCGCCCGCGGAAAAGCCTCGCCGCCGCGACAGAGATAGCGCCAGGGCAGAGACCTTCAGCTGAAGCTTAAAGCTAATTTTAGTACATACCAGAACAGCCAGAATAATAGTTCTTTGTGTTAAGGCTTTGAAATTTTTTTTCTCTCTGATAGCAATCCTCACAGATCAGCAATTCTATCTGCACAACGGTTCAGACTCGCCTTGAAGTAACGGCTACAACTGCGCTTTTACACGAACGCTTTCAATGCTTTCAGTACCCACAGACCATACTTGACTTACGCACCCTGCTTGTATCAAACTTCGCTTTTCAAGTATATATCACTCACAGAGACAGTCACCATTAATCCTTTCGGCGGCAGCAGCAGCACTCTTCACCTCCAGACACTTCAGCAACCCGTGAATCCTGAGCAGGACCAGGCACTACACGACCTCAGCAGGGCTGAGAAACCCAGCACGTGGAGGTACCTGAAGGGCAGGATTCTCCTGCGCCTGCTCTATCGCAGCGCGAAGGTCTTTGGCATCACTGCGACTTCAGATGGGGATAACAGCACCCGATTTCTCAACGGCGTTTGCTCAGCCTGGGTGGCTCGGAGCTGCCCAGCCCCGGGCATGAGCTCTGTGCCCAACGCAACGCGCAGCTGCAGCCAGAAGTGCGAGTGCTTTGCCAGCCATGGTCAGTGGGTTGCAGATTCAGGGCCAGTTTCACAGGAGGGTCAGCATGATCAAGTCCAACACGTCTACACGTGCCTCCCTGCTGTGCCCACTCCGATCTAGGCGTTCATAAGCAGCATTGCCAGGAGGAGGGGAAAGATTCCTACAAGGGACAAATAAGAAGCTTCAGTCTTCGACCCAGACCAACTACCTTTTCCCTCCCTGGTCCCCTTCAACTCCCCCCTCCCTGGTCCCCTTCATCTCCCCCCGCCTTTTCACAGCATGATGTTAAAGCAACAATATAAATCTGACAACAGACTGTGGTGGAAAGCTTTTAAGCCTATTTCAAGCACAACACACAAGAGACAATAACATAAAGATATGCAGGAGGGCGGTACCGGGGTTCGGGACTATGCATTACTCACCAGCAATGACCATGTCCGCTCCGCCTGGAAAGGAAGCGAGCCAAAATGAGAAAGTCGGCCCCCATTCAGCATGGTAGTTCGTCAGAACCACACAACGTGCAGTGTCTCAGATCACAGCCAATGCACACGGAAGACAATTCAAGCACCACACAGCACAGGACCCCCGCACAGCCCACCTCCACAGAAGTTCCCCCGTTAAAACCCCGGTGTATTTAGCAGGGTACATTGCCAGCAGCCTGAGTCCGTGCCACAACCTAATCATGCTCTCTTGGCACTAGATTTTAACGGAAGCTGTTTCAGGAAGCATCGAATGCTTACTGCTTAGCAGAATTATCTGATTTGAGGATTCACAGAGGAAGGAAAAAGGAGGTATCTTGAAGACAGAGAGGAGGCAGCAAGACAGACACAGGAGACAGTCACCTCTGCACTGGGGAGCGGGCTTGCTCCAGGCTCCCCGGTACGGATCTCTGGCAACACACTGCAGCAAGGCAGCTCCGGCAAGGCTGAAGCCATCCTTGCATTTATAAGCTACGACGGAGCCGTGGACAAAGTTTGTGCCCTTGGTGCCATTGTGCATCCCGTTGTCAATGGCGGGGGGCTCTTCGCAGAGACCGTGTGGGAGCTGTCCCACGGAAGGAACATCACTTTTGCACTCAGGAGTAGGCTTGCTCCAGACTCCGTGGTTCTGATTATCTACTTCACAGTGAACAGAGGCCGTTCCAGCAAGGGTGAAGCCATCCTTGCATTTATAAACTATGACGGAGCCGTGGGCAAAGTCCTTGCCCTTGGTGCCATTGTGCATCCCGTTGTCAATGGTGGGGGGCTCTTCGCAGAGACCATGTAGGAGCTGTCCTAGGGGAGGAACATCAGCAAGAGCGTCTGAGAGCTTCTCCTCACTGCGAGGGGAAGAGGGGTATGGGGAGAAGGAGGTACAGCCGAACGCCATGCGTCTAGCAGGAACTGAAAGTACTTTGAGCTTTCTTGCTTGGTGCTGGACCTCAGTGCCCAGTAGCCACAAGTCCAGGATCTCACCCCATGAAACAAGCCACTGAAGAGCCTCAGACAACGGTTTGAGCCGTTTCTAGCTTCACGTAGCACTATACACTGACTTCATAACACTCGATTTCAGCATTATACCAAACTGAGTGGATAAAGTTCTAATATCCAATTATTTTCGCCTTTCCCTGGTAACTAGAGATAAAAAACTTTGCTCCTGTGACTGTTTTTTCTTTTTCTACAATTTCTGCTCTTCCCTCGCTGCTTCGATTTTGTCAGCATAATTTCTGAATTGTACAAGAATATTACACCTAAGGCCTCGCAGCAGGACTTAGTACTGAAAGCCTGAATTTTGCAGTTGATTGAGTTAAGAAGCACAAGCAAGCGCAGCCCAAGCCCACCAGCAAGGCAGCTACACCAGCGCAGTTCCAATTATTATCTTAATGGCTCTGTGCAGAGTCTTTCCCCTCTTACTTTCACAGGATGGAGCTGCTGTATCCCAATCAACTCCACTTCCTGAGACCACACACTTGGCAGAAGATGACTTCTTTAATTCATACCTAAAGAAAGAGAAGTTCAGTACTTTCCAGAAGACAACCCAGAAAGGGTTCTTCCCCCATCTCCCCACCACTGCACGGAGGCAACTATTAACCTGAAGTTGCTCCTGCTATGAAATGGGATCTGGCCACATCAAAGCCACTAAATAAGGGCACGAATACGAGCTGAACTGAAGCAGTTCACTGTGTTACCAAGCACATGCTCATTGCCACATGCTCATCTCACTGAGGACACAATCTACAGTTTCACTGGACACTTGCACTGGGAAACTGGGGAGAGAGGGGAGTGGTGGGTGCTGCTGTCTGTGATCCCTGCCTTCTGACCCCCAAGTCGGCCCCTTTTAAGCCGTGATCCACTCACCCAGGGTGACAGGTGAACGTCACAACCGTCTCAAACAGGAAATTGTCTGCAATCACATCCCCGTTCGCAATTGTGGGACGAGTACATTGCTGTCCTAGAGGAAAAGAAAGCAGGACGGGAATTACTTCAAACCCAGATATGGGCATGACCCAGATTTCAGAGTAAGTAACAACTCCAGCGTGTACAGATCACTCGTACAGTCAGTCGAGACAGGAGAGGAACAGAGATACTCACGTATACAGAACTCTGGGTCTGCAGACCAAGTCGTATCACTCAGACAAGTGACAACAGAGGACTTCCCACGTGCTGCTGTATAACCCGGGTTACACCGATACCTCAGCGCAGTTCCAGCCAGAGAGCGGTCACCCACAGCCCTCTCACTCTCAGCGAAAGGGAAGTGTGGGGCAGGACCACAGTAGACTACAATTGGAGACAAAAGCAAGGTCAGTGACAGCAGAGTACCCACAGGGTCTGCAGTAACAACCCCGCCCTGCATATTTGGCAGCACGCAGCGTTTCATAGAATCATAGAAAGTTTTGGGTCGGAAGGGACCCCTAGAGCTCATCTAGCCCAACCCCCCCGCAGCGAGCAGGGACACTGCTAACGAGATCAGGGTGCTCAGAGCCCTGTCCAACCTGGTCTGGAATGTTTCCAGGGATGGGGCCTCCACTGCCTCTCTGGGCAACCCGTTCCAGTGTTTCACCACCCTCATTGTAAAGAATTTCTTCCTTATATCCAGCCTAAGCCTACCCTGTGTTAGTTTAAAACCATTACCCCTCGTCCTGTCACTGCTGTCTATACTGAAACGATTGTCCCCATCTTTCCTATCG